TACTTAACCTAGGACACAAGTCACAGACTCTTAGCACAGGTCACTCTCCCCATCACTGCCAAATTCAGTGAAGAAACTGAGCTTCAAGAAGAGAACTGATGGCTGATTTAACTAATCCTACTGGTGTCTAATAGGTCCTAATATGATCTTTTAAATGGGGCATATGTCTTTATTTAATTCATTTATCCCTCCACCTTTCTCCCTGATGGTAACCTAAAGAAGCTTGCATCATTCTCCTCTCCTCCATTTTATTTATTTATTTATTTAATTTTTGACTTATATACCGCTCTGACCCCGAAGGGTCTCTTGAGCGGTTTACACAGCTGTTTATCCCTAACTAGGGCCAACTGTGGGGTAGGTTGGGATGAGAGAGTGTGAGTGGCACAAGGTCACCCAATGAACTTCCATGGCATGAGTTGGAATTTGACCCTGGGTCTCCCGGATACTATTCCAATACTCTAAACCAATAAATCACACTGGATGATGTTTGCTATTTACATGAAAGGTATGTTCTCTAACAACACTTGCCTTATTTTCCCTAGATTTGCTATCCTTGAGCCACAGTTCTCTAAATATGGAGATGTTGCTAAAAGTACCTCTAAAAAGTTTACTCCATGCTGTCATTGTTAGCTGAAATAACGCAGGTGGCCCCTCAACAGGATTTTTTCTGTGTTGGTGACTTGTTTGATGGAATATATCCTCCCTACAAATTTGGCTGGGACCTAGTCTATCAAGTTTTCTGGCCCAGCTCAGGCTATCAATTCATTATTTTTTAATATGTGATTATTGCTTTCTAAGAGTTATATATAAGAAACCTTGTGCAATTCTGGTTAAAGAGCAGGATAGAAAATACAAACAAATAAAATTACCGTAAGCGTATCTGTTAGGATTTTCGGATTGCAGACAGACCATAAGCTATAGTGCCAAACATAGAGCAATGTGTTTGAAATTTCATACGGCTGTCTCATGTATAAATGAGTTCCTGAGGTTTTAGAGATGAACTTTAAACACCTGCCAAGGAATAGATTATACAAATGTTGAATGCTAATTAACCTTTTTAATGTGTAAGTTGTACTGTAGAGATCAGCTTTTTAGTTAAGGCAGCTTTATATCAAATGAAACTGTTGAAGAAAAGAGTGTTTTTAACAATAGGGTGTTTTCCAGATCTTGGCATTTTGTTTTCACTTGTATTAGTTTTCAATTCTTTACTTCTTAACACAGATGTTTTGTATTTGTCTAAGAACTGGTTTGTACATAAAGCTTCAGTGAATTTCCTTACACAATATCCTTGGAATTTTCCCACATGTTTACACAGAAGAAGCTGAATGTGGAGTTGGAAGTGCATTGTTAACTGACTATAGACAATGGCCTTGATTTTCACTATTATTACTGCATTATGGCAGCTTCAAAGGAGGCTGTTGGAGCTGACTCAGGAAAGTGGATACATATGTACTTTGCTTGACATACTGCCTTGGAAGCCCAACTGGTAGAAGATTGGTGGCATTATCAAATCAGTTTTGACATGATGTTCCTGAACCTTCACATCTTGCAACCTATAGTTTTCTTGGAAACCAGAACCATCAGTCAGAGTCAAATTGGAATGGTAGTTTTAGTTCCAAGCTGAACCATTCTTTTTCTGATTCACATGTAAAGGTAAATGATGATTTGTCAAGAAATGGGAAATGAAGAGCAAAATTCAAGGGCCAGAGAATGGAACGTGCAGGACTGCAGTTCAGGCACAAGTAAACAAACTATGATTTGGATGTTATGTGTGAATAGACTCAATATGTGTGAATCAAGACAATCAAGTATAACATACTTATCTACTTATGAGTTGCTCCACAAACTCTTAAGAGTATTTCTGTACTAAATTATAATTTCAAACAGTTTGTTCCAGTAAAAGATGTCACATTGCCTGGCTTTTCAGCAAGGCTGAAGGACAAGAGTTATTCAGGAGAGCTTTTGGGGTAGCCTGTGCCTGGCCAAAGGGGGGCCCCTGTTGGTGGGGGTTTAAGGTGTTTTCAGATTGGTTTTTAATATATTGTTTGTATCTATTGTTTGTTTGTTTTTATCAAATTGTTTTTATAATGTTGTTACCTGCCTTAGATCCTGAGATTCAGGAGGCTTTATAACTATTTTTAAATAATTAAATGTCTCACTACAAGTGGAAGGGAGGCAGTAACTTTTTGTGGCATGCTCTGTTCGAAATGGATACTGTTTACTGAAATGATTTATCTTCCAGATCGTGGGACCCTCAGATGGCTCTAGTTACATTATAGATTATTATGGGGCAAGGCTTACCAGACTGAGTATTACTAATGAGACGTTCAGAAAACCTCAGATATATCCATAAACTTGCCAGTAAGTGCCTTGATTTGGAATATGGTGATTCAAGAGTTGATTAATAACTAAGTATGAAAGAATGTATTTGACGGAAGGATGAAGTTCACCAAGCAATGCTTTCTTCTCTTCATGCAGTAAATGAACAAACACACTAAATAAATAAACAGAGGAGTTCCTCAAGGAATCTGAAAGAGTCTTAGTTGAACAAATTGACTATGAACTGTTAATTCTTTATATAGGGCTGATTGCATGTGGTGGGGCTTTGGATTTTTTGTTAGAGTAGAAACGCCTGTTCCCCTCCCAGTTTGTGAAAGGTCTACGTATGGTTCTTTAATAAAGTATTGAGAAAAGCCCTTTTGCATGCATACATGTGCTTCCTTGCAGAATCACATTTTCAGGAGCATGCTGGTGATTTTATAAATTAATTTTATAAAGTAATAATATAAATAATTAATATAAATAATTAATATAAATTGATAATATAAATAAATTATTTTTTACCGTGGCTCTTTTTAATGGTTCCAGAGTTTTTAAATTAATTTGGATGGACTAGGGAAGGAATGTTATTTGCTGCTGTTTCACTTATTTGGCTTTTAAAAAAAATATTTTGGTTTAATTGTTGTATTTGTTTTGTTATTATTGTTTAGTCTATGTATGTCACCCTATGTGATGGGACATAGATTTTCTAAATAAAGATTTCTTCATATACTTAAGTAAAATGCAGAATCGGTAATCTACCAGGAAACACTCAAAGTTATTTGAAGAAATTATTCTATATAAATACCATTCTGCATTATATAGAATCTGATAAGCCAACAACCACAATTTGATCTGCTTTCTCCTTCTCCTCATATTTAGCATCCTTGGGAAATCCATTTTTTAAATTTTACTTGGTCTTCCAAATATACTATTCTAAGTCTGATAGAATCTTCTATTCCGTAGGATGATCTTGCCCTTTCACATTCTATGTCACAGTTGTTGTTTTTAAATGTTCCATCTAATTGGTGTTTTCGTTCCTCAAAAATATCATTTCAACTTGCCTATTATACAGAGGGCTTCATGTGTATCTTGTACCTATTCTCAGCTGTAGGCATCAAGGGCAATGCATGCAACCTGTTCTGTATGTGACAATGAGTAAATCCCTAACCGCAGTTGCATTTGTGTTGGCTGAGAGCTTCGGTCTCTTACTCCTGGTAGTCCACTTATTGGTTTGCTTCATTAGGTGTTCAGCCCTTCTCTGTGTTAATAAATCTTCCATTTTGTTCTCCCTTGTTAAAGTCAGGGACTTAAGCCAAAGGTAAACATCCTTATTATCCTGCCTTCATTAGGCAACTGTAATAAATGCTCATCATTGTCTGCGTAAGTTTTACTTTACATATTAAACTTTTGAAATAGGTTTTTTGCTGTATACAAGGGCAGGTGACAAACATGCTGAAGGGGGGGGGGAGTCAGCATTCCCAGTCTCCTTTATGAGATATGTGAACGATCTCAAATTCGTTAATCCAGCAAAGAAAGTATTTTAACTTGTTAACCATGTTCTTTGTCTTTTTGTTACCTCAGGCTGACATGGTGTAATGTATTGAATTTTATTTCCCAAAGGCTAACTCTGATAGAATTTCTGTCTTTTTCTAACCAAATTTAGCTCTTTTTCTTGGTTATATTTTTATCACAGATAATCTGGTTTGGTTCAGCCAAACAATTTGGGGATGGTTTCAAAATGTGATAGGGTGTTAACATTCAATGTGGATTTTGGTAAAACCAATTTACTGACATGTAAAAATAAACCAAAAAAACAATTCTAAGTGCAGCCTTACCAAGGTGATACATGGAGCCATTCCACATTTCTGATTATCCTTCTTTTAAAATATTTTAATCCTGCCATTGGCCCAGGTTTGCTTGTAACAGGTGCAGCAGTATTGAAAACAATGGAAATAATTCACATAAAAAACTTCACAACCAAATAACAGAAACTGGCTTGGCTGAATAATCAAATTCTGTACATTTATCACTTCTGTAATGTCTTCTCAAACAGAATTAAACCCTAAAATTCCTATTGAGGGCTTAATAAGGCAAGAGCCTTGTGTGAGTGTTGGCAATGGGCATCCTACAGAGCGGGTTGCACGGCAACAGCTCATTTGCAGTACTTTGCATTCTGATGCCTTACCTGGAGCTCTCATTTGTGCTGTATTTGGAAAAAAGTAAGAACTAACAAGGTGCCACTTCTTCCGTCAATCCTGAAGTGGAAAAACTGTCAAGTACAGCTATTGGCAAAGACACTGTTTTTCCCCTTCTGCATCCTGTTTCCTGTAGGTGGAGCCAAACCCATAGCTGAATACCTTGTACCAATTGAAGGTGGTATATGGCAAGGCTCAGGTATAACTTCAGTATTCAAGTTATTTTTGTCAGTCAGTTTTTATGGAAGCAAATGGAACATGCATTATTGCCTTTTGAATTTATTCCTGCAGGCTAGTTTTGCTTCTTTTATTGTCACTGCTGACATGTTAGTCTGCATCAACATCTTTAGAACCTCTTGCATACGTACAGAATTTTTGCTTGTTGATTCTTAAGGTAGATGAGACATTCTCTGCCCATGCTGTGTATTAAAACAGCTGTTTAAGATTTTAATTGCAGCTATACCACTGATACGTGAGAGTGTGCAGAACTTTTTGGATTATGAGGGAAACATTTAGTATCCTCTAAAGATGTGGATGATACATCATTTTCATACTATGTATGAGCATTTTTAAAGATCAGCTTCCATTAGTGTAATTACTATATAAATTCTCTTTTGAAGAAGTTTGTAACAGATAGTTTAATCCTGCTTTAGACCTGAATTTTATTTGCCACAGTATCAAGCTAGAATTATGTCCATTTTTAGCATTTTCCACTGACAAGATATTACATAAAAAAAAATACCCATACTGCTTTAAAGGCTGTGCTCTGGCTTTGAATGAGTTTTTGTGTGAAATTTCTTTCTTTTTAAATCTGGCTGTAAAAGCCTCTCCAACTATGATATCTTATTGCTGAAACTGGTAAAGACTGCATGTCTGCATATTTCTACATACATATATAGAACTAAACATATGTGAAACTTCTTTGTGCACCTCAGATCATAGATCTGTCTTCTCTGCTTGGCAGTACCTCTCAAATGTGGCTTGTGCTAACTGAAGGGCTCATGCAGAAGTCTTTCCAAACTCCATCCTTTGAATTGCTAGGGATGCTAGAGATGCAGCATATATCCTCTGTCACTGAGCTATGGGCCCTTGTCCACATTCATGTTTGCACTCAGATCTGTGTATGAAACAGCTTGCAAAATATCTGCAGGAATTCTAAGAATCTGAGTAAATCCTGTGTTCTTTGTTAACTCCAACAGGCCTTCCTGTTATAAGGCGCATTTTATCTGATGCATGGAGAAAGGTTGAAATTGCATTTACATGGCCACTGCATCATGCATAGAATTGTTTGTACTGACTGGTGGCGTGCTGTTTCTCCATATAGTAGGGTGACCAAATGTCCTCTTTTTTCGATGTCCATCCTCTTTTGGGCTCTTAAAAAAATGCCGAAAATGTCTTCTTTTTTTGTTGGGAGGCTGAGACTATTTTGCCTTGTGGAGAGAAGCTTCAGTTTTGCCACCAGCACTACTTCCTAGTATGCATTTTGAATAGGACCTCCTATTTCATTGTTCTGTATCAGAATTTTCTTAGGCCTGCAGACTGCTTTGGTCCATGTCCTTGACTCCTTCTCTCCCCATAGCGATGGCATGTAGTCCCCACCCACTGCAAGGAAGTGCGGGAGTCCTGGGCATTCCTGGTGTTTCTCTTGTTAGCTGTGCAATAGCAGTGAATCATGACTTGGAAATAGTTAACATGTTTTCAGAGGCCTAGCAGAAAATGAGTTAGTTTGAGACAATGTTTGGATTCTCTACTAGAAGCTCCTGCCTGTGCCTGAGAGGGAACCAAAGGCCTTGCTTTCTGTTCTGAATGCTTTGTGTTCATGAGCTCTTTAAGATTTAATCATCTTGAATCTCAAATCCAAGTAACGTATCTTGTTTATTATTCCAAGACTGTGTGGGCTCGGTCACTCTAGTGAGCTCTGGGCTCTGGCTAACAGCTCTCTCCCTTGGAGTGTAAGTGAGTTTGCACTGGAGGCTTTTCATGGTGAGCAACCTCGTGTGCTGGAGAGAAGCCCTTTGGAATATCCAGACCAGCAAGGCAGAAGGTGAAGCAGCTTGTATTTTTTTTCTTCATCACCAGGAATATGCCAAATAGAGTGTAAATTTAGCCATGAACTTGAAATAAAATAGCCTTGCTTCAGTGCTGGCAGAAATGAAAATGAAGCAGAATGCACTACAAGCAAGATTTTTGTCTATGGTAAACGAAGGAAGTAATGATTTGGAAGCACCCGTCAACAGTGATAAGCACAAGAAAAAAGTCTGGCGCTCTTTTAATAACCCAAAGGTCAGTGAATTCCTTATCAATCAAAATTTAAAAAACAGAAGACCGACTTATAGCAACTGAAGGAGCATTGTCGTTTCATGTTGTAAAACCTCACCATATAGGTCTATCAATTGCACTTCAAAATTAAATCAAGTGATATATTCTGATTTAGACATAGTGAAAAAGGTTTCCTGTGCAAGAACAAAAGCTGAGGACATTGCCACAGCAACAGAATGTTGCACTCTATTGACAATTTAGGATTTAAATGAAATATTCTGCTTAGGTGTTTCCACTGATAGCAGCAACCATGGGTCACAAAAACTATTCCCTGTTGTGATACAATATTTTCAAAAAGTTCATGGTATTAAATCAAAATTGATACAGCTGAATAGCACGCCAAATGAGAAATTGGAAACAATAGTGAACTGTGTTACACAAGCATTAAAAGACCATGGCCTCCTTATGAAGTGTGTTCCATTCTCTGGTGCTAACATGAACACTAATATTGGAGGAGTTGATCGCCCTGGAAGCAAATATGTCTTCCATGCTTTGAAGCATGAATTAAAGAGAGAATTAGTTGGTGTTGGTTGTCCAACACATATCTTTCACAACTGTATACGGCATGGGGCAGACACATCACCTGTAGACATAGAATGCATCATAATGAAGATTTACAATTATTTATCCATGTATATGGTAAGAACAGAAAATCTCAAGTTATTGTAAATTCATTTATATAAATTACAGTTATTGTTACACAGCAGAACAAGATGGCTATCATTCTTTCCTGCCATAGAATGGTTACTGCAGATGTTTCCTGGTGTGAAATCTTTTTTTTCAGTCTCAATCCAATTCACCATGCATATTGAAGAAATTCTTTGAAAATGACTTAGCAAAAGGGTATCTGTGGCACTTACATTCTTTTATATGTAAAGGTTCCATACAAAAATAGAAGAGGAAAAAATCTGTTTTGGAGGTTTTCATTGTATTGCAATCAAAGGAAAGAAAGCAAAGGAAAGAAAGATGCACTGGAGAAAGAAGTTGGTCTGTTTATGGAAGAAGCTTCTTGTACAAAGTGTGTTTGGAATATCTGCAGAAATGAGCAGTTTCTTTTAATGAGTTTGACTGTTTTCGTTGGATGACTTTAACTGATACCCTTTCATTTGATTATGTACAGCATGTCATAAAATACTTGAGATCAAGATGTGATAGTGAATGATGTAAAACGTTTTGACCAGTTCGGTAACCTGAAGACTTTTGCTGAAAGTGCTCGAATAGATGAAGACTTAAAAAGTGTGCCCGTTAGTGACAAGTGGGTTAAATACTTTTAAAAGTGCTGCAATGCAGATGGCTATTCTGAGTTGCTTAAAATAGCACAATTTTTCTTCTGCATTCCAGGACATAACACAAATATTGAGAGGAGCTTTCTTTAATGAAGGCCCAGTGGTCAGATGAAAATACCTGCTTGAACAATCAACTATGCTTAGACTGAAACCAGTCTGATTTCAGGGATGGTTAGGAACTAAAATAGCCTTGGTGTCTTGTTGGATGACCTGTGCAGGAGATGGACAAGAGGAGTGCAACCCTGTTAATTCTTTTGGACCTCTCTATGGCTCTTGATACCATTGATCATGGTATCCTTCTGGACCAACTTTCAAGGTTGAGACTGCAAGGCACTGTGTTGTAGTGGTTTCAGTCCTCTCGAAGATGGGTTTCACAGTGTTGTGCTGGAGGACCACTGCCCTACAGGGTCCCTCAAGGTTCCATCTGGTCCCTTATGCTTTTTAACATTTACATGAAGCCACTGGGAGAAGTCATCCACAAATTTGGGCTGAGTTGCCACCAGTATGCAGATGACAATCAGCTCTATTTCACGCCTCCAGCAGATCCCGGGTTGACTGTGGAAACTGAACAGGTGCCTGGAGACAGTTTTGGGAATGGAAGAGGGCTAACAAGCTGAAACTTAATCTCAACAAAACAGAGGTGCTATTGGTGGAGGGAAGTTCTGACATGAATGGTGTTCAGGATGGTGTTGAACTCCATCCAGCTTGGGAAGCTTGGGAGGGATGTTTGACCTGGGCCTTCTGTTGAGTAAACAGGTGGCATCAGGAGTGCCTTCTACCAACTTCAGCAGGTGAGACAGGGTATATGCCACACACTGGTTACATCTACATTAGAATACCACAATGGGCTATATGTGGGGCTGCCCTTGAAGGCTGTCCGGAAGCTATATTTGGTATAAATTGTAGCAGCCAGAATGTTGACTGGTGTGGGTTATAGGGGCCATATCACTCCAGTCTTGTTTCATCTGTATGGGCTCCTATTTTAAGAGTTTGGTACTGTCCTTTAAAGCCCTATGTGGCTTGGAGACAGCATGTATTAAAGATAAGGTAAAGGTTTCCCTTGCTCGAAAGCCAGTCGAATCCAACATCTCCATTTCCAAGCCAAAGAGCCAGCGTTGTCCAAAGGCGTTTCCGTGGTCATGCAGCCAGCATGACTAAATGCCGAGGTGCACAGAACGGTGTTACCTTCCCACGAAAGTGGTACCTATTTATCTACTTGCAATTTCTTGCTTTTGAACTACTAGGTTGGCAGGAGCTGGGGCCAGAGATGGGAGCTCACTCCATCATGTGGCATTAGGGTCTTGAACTGCTGAGCTACCGACCTTCCAGTCTGCAGTTCAGCATCTTAACCTTTGAGCCACTGAACATTAAAGATACCTTCTCCCATATGAACCTACTGTCCACCCTGGTCATCTTCGGGGGTTGTACTTTGGGGGCCCCACCATCTGAGGCTAAATGGGTGGCAACCTGAAAAAGGGTGGTCTTAGTCATGGTACCACAACTTTGGAACTCCCTCCCCAGGGAGATTTGGCTGTCTCCTATCATTGCATTATGTCAGCAGCTTAAGACTTTTTGTTTTTGGCATTCCTCATAACTGATAAGCCTTCTTCTTCCCTGTCTGTGTGTTTTTATGTGCTGGTGTTTCTAATCGCTTTAAATTTTTTATATTTGTATATTTATTTATTTATTTATTTAACTTTCGATTTCTATACCGCTCTATCCCGGAGGCTCTGAGCGGTTTACATGGCTTATTAATACTCCTAACTAGGGCCACACGATAATTGGGGAAGGTGAGTGCCTACCAGGCCCCCTGCCGGCTAGTTGTTTTAAATTCTTTCTGAAGTATGAAATGTTTTAAAGTTCACCACATTGGCGACCTTGAATTGGGTGAAGAGGTGGCATAGAAGTGTTTAAAATAAATAAAAACCATGGCCCTGGAGCACCACCTTTATGTTGACAGGTACGGGAATAGATGCAGCAGTGAATGTAAGTGATAGTGGGAAGATGAAGGAGCGAGCAAGGCTAAGGACAACTCGCTTCCTCTGTTCTCTTAATGGACAGCAGCTGTTGTACAGGTGTTGTTGGAGGGGGCCTGTTTGATTGTACCATTGCAAGAGACAAGGAAGGGCAACAGCAGTATGTTCTCCACCTGGGTATCTAGGGGACAGGAGAACCATCCCTGCTCAAACCACATACATTTATAGTGTGTAGTGGAAGCTATGCACTTTTTTAGTGTGTTACGAATTAAACAATATTTTTCTTTATTAGGAATTAAACAATGTGTTGCTTTCTTTCAGAGCTAAATATCATGTCCTCTATTCCACTGTGGGGATGATGCCTGAATAATAAACGATGGCATGGGGCTGCCTTGAAAGAATATAATTTGATGGAAGCATCTATGTCTCCATTTTTCCACATAAGCCAAAAGCAGCAGACCACTTCATCATATATGCTATTATTCACATGAGCAGAGCTAGGGTTTTTCTGCCATGATTTTGACAATCACTTCATGTTCCTGTCAAGAAGACAACAATGACTTGTGTTTATTTTGTTAAATAAGAATGAACTATGGACATTATTTATGCTCAGTACACCATTAAGTACTATGCACTGGACGTTGTACTAGTCTTTAGACTAAAAGCATTTATGAACAAACATAAAGGAGGAGGCAAAAAGCTATGACGACATTCAGCATTCTGTTCCATACTACTCTTTAAAAGCAAGAAGAAATAAACAAAAAACGTTGTTTTACAGATGTACCAAGTTCCAGCTCATTCACTCTCTCCTGCCCTTGCATCAAGTACATCCTGTACTTTTGGCAACAAGTTGACTGGATATTTAAAAGCTGCAAACTGCTCTGAAAGTTTCACATAGTGGGTTATGGGCCATGTGTGTTTGATCAAAATTCAATTACTATACTGTGCCAGGCCTGGAAACCTATCATTGCAAGTTATGAAGTATGACGAAATAAGCTACTCTAATTGGTTCAGTATGGGGAGCAGTTTCAACCAACCTTGTTATGATAAATAGCTTCCTGTGTTAAAGGTTCTCTAGAGCTTAAGTATCTTGGCTTACCTCCTTCAACAGAATAAGAATATTGTTCCCTAGGAATACTTACATCACTATCCCTCTTCCCCATTCAAACTTAAACATTTGTAGAATTTTCATCTTGCTGTTCTTGACACAAATAAGCAATGGCCATTGCTTTCATTTCCCTCCTTTCCCTTTTTGTCACTTCTTCCAGTCATAAAGCATCTTGCCTCCCTATAAAAAAAAGATGGTTTTAATATTTCAACACAACTACTGTTGCTGGCAGTTTCACTTTGCTCAGCCACATTGCTGCTTGGAAATTCTTTATTGTTATTTAAAGTTCATAAGTGCTGAAAGAAGAGAATATTCTATGGCTTTAAGCCTAGAGCTGCATTTGCTAAGTGTGTCATTGAAAGCATGAATGTCATGGGAGAGAATACTGACGCCATAGGTTTAGCAGGCTCATATTCTGAAGTAACATCTGTGTTGTGTTATCCTCATGCCACAATAATAGTCAGCAGCAAGTACAGGCAATTGTCTCATGACTGCATGCACAGGGTGGCCATCAAGGCTCTTTGGATACAGATGGCTTTCTCATGGTCCACTTTAGGGAAAGAATGTGAAATATTAGCATTAACTGCTATTTTTATTTAGGGTGAACTAAGGAAAATAGGATCCTGAAAAATGTCTTTTAGTAGTGGTGAACTAAGTCATTTAAATAGGTTACTGTTCCTCTCCATCTTCTGTAAACTGGTATTACCAGTGCTGTTACTCAGTTACCATTTGTTTTCTGAGCTCTGAAATAACTTGGCTGTTCTATTTAATATCCTGTTTGTCCTTCTCCTAAGAGCTTGTACTAGATCGCCTGCAAAAAGGTCTCTATTTTAAAGAGCAGTCTCCTTAGTTGTCACTTAATCAAGCAAATAACTAAGTGTAGCCATACAAAATTAGCAGGAAGAAAACTTTATAAAATAAATGTAAGTATGATTAAGATGAGAAATAAACCCTGCTGCTATCTTTGCAAGTGAGATGTGATCAAATGCTTTGGGATGGGTAAGAGATATGTAAAATGTCCTCAGCTCTAATGTTGCGCTGTGTGAGTTTATTTTATTATTTTCCTTGCAATAGGTAGTAGATGATAGTAATCATTTTATGGCTCTTAATAAAGTTCCACAAGAAGTAACTTTACCTTTAAAAATAGAATGTGACTGCAGGCACTTATGCTAATCTCCCTTTTGGCAAATCAGCTTTTTTTTGTATTGAATCTCGCTTGATTGAATAGCACTGGAACTGCCAGAGTAAATGCTATTATCAATGTACAGTAATTAAGGAAATAGTCCTTGTCACTCGAACAGCATCCAGGCTGTGCCTGCTGTAATAAAGTTAAATGATAAAGAAATCTCTTTAAATAAAGTGCAGCTACTGGAGTGTGGTTACCTCTGAAATACAGTGGAACAATGCAGTGGAGAACTATCAGTGATGGGAAAATATGCCCACTGAACACAATATGAATATAGAACTTTAAAACATGTAATTAGATAACATTAACCATTAATCATCTGATTTAGAGCTGAAGAAGCATGTTTTCATCCTCCATTCCTAAAAACTGACAAGCTCAAAGCTTTGTCTTCCCTGCTCTTAAATAAGAAACAATTGATATTCTTAAATATTTTGAAGCTTGTTCTTGTACAACTTGGGCAAATGGATTTATGTCTAATCTTCAGTATATTGTCCTAGTGGAATCTCAAGAGTATTGGCATGAACATTTTTATGATATCGTGATAAAATCTATTTGTATGTTTTTAAGGTAGCTGTTGTGCATGACAATGAAGTACATTGCCACCAAACATGAACTTTACCTATGTTGTGTCTTTTGTGATGAGATAACAAAGGATACATTTTTAATTCTGCTTTTGGTTAATTTGGCGGATGGAAATACAAGGTACTGGCTCATTTTACTATCATGAGAGCTCAATGGTCACAATACATTTGGAATACATATACCTAAGAATACCACCCTGAGTAAGCCCATAACTCTGAGTAGTAATTTCATGAAGATTACTCAACCCATGGAGTTTAAAATATGACAGTCAGAAAGGACATGTAATTGTTATCAAGAAAACTTGCATAATTAGGTGATCTTATTTGAAGAAGCTGATCTTTGAGTGCATCTGTAAAAATAAATTCCAGATAGTTGTTCTTTGAGGTGACAATGTCATAAAAACTCTGCTGAGGCTTGCATCTAGGAGACACGGCTGCCAAGCTGATAAATATTTTGAAAATCGGTGGTTCAGCAAATTAAGGGATGTAGCAAGGGTCTGTGCTAATGGAATCTTGTGCTCTGGATTTATATAATAACAAAGAAACTAAAAAGCCAAGTGAGATGTAATAACTGAGAAGCTGCAGCAGTTGCAACAAGATCAAAGTATCAACAAGCTTGGTTTCCCACCCACCCCAATCATGGCTGCATATAGTGCCTTGAGAAAAACTGCCCATCTTGGTTCCTAGGTGTCCCTTGTGCACTCTCCTGTTTAAAGCCTTTTTTATTTCAACACAGTGTACATCTATAGTAGATGTAGGATTTCTGGTCTTCTAAAGTACTACATTGTTTTCAGAAGTACATAAGAAGTTAGGTGAATGTCTGAGCTGTGGTCATTGTGCCAATTATTTGTTTTAAAAAACTTTCATAATGACCTTCAGTCTTGTACATTGCAATCAAAGCAGGGATTAGCCTGTCCATTTTTTTAAAAAAAAAATTGCACTACAAACTGAGTTTTAAAAATGAGGCATGCCAAAGCTGAAAGCAGGTGTATTCTGCGTTACTACTGCTACATTACTGCTTCAAGGACAAAGGAAACACTCATCCAATTAGAAGAGACATGAGGTTGAGGCACTCTTCATTCTTTCTGTAAAGAAAATTCTGGACAAAGTGTCAGCCTTAAGTTACAATGAGTGCTGTTGAAATAATGACTGTTAAGTCTAAATACACAAAGTTGTGATACTTTTTAGGCATGGAGAGCAGTGTTCCCTCTAAGCTGAGTTGGTGTGAGCTAGCTCACAGTTTTTTGGCCTCCAACTCTTAGCTCAGGAAGGCTGCCTCCAGAGCAAACTAATTTATGCAGTATCCATATCGTTTGCTCACAACTTTAATGCCAGTAGCTCACAAAGTAGAATTTTGTTCACAAGACTCCACAATTTAGAGGGAGCATTGATGGAGAGCATTAATTTTTATATGGCTACCCTGCCCAAGGCAAATGCTACAAGCAAAATGCAAGACACCCCAAAAGTCAACTAGACTCAGAATTATTTACCTGGAATGTTACAAATCCATGAGTTGCTCATTCCATTGGATGCAGTGTAGTGTGCAATTGCAACCAGAAATAATAACCAGCCTTGGAGTAATAACAAACACCTTTTCAAGTGATCACAAACAGTTCTTGCCTGCCAAGGATTAAGACAAGAGTTTGTCAGGAGGATGCAGTAGGGTGACATTTTTAGACTTTTTTGTGCCTGAAGCAAAATTCCAAAATGACTCCCCTAGATTTTAAAAATAGGATGCGGAAGTGAAGTAGGATAATTTGTTGGCTGTTGTTACTGTTGCATATGTAGTGGATGAGGGCAGCTGGGGTAGGACATTTATGATGATTGACCAGCTTTGAGGTGAAACCAAGGCTGGGAAAAACCTTTTCTGGCTGGATAGGCTTGGTTGTTCAGCCAAGAGTGAAATATGGTTCTCTATTGGCTGAGCCAGTTCTGATGGGCTTTATGTTCCAAAACACCAGGCCCAGATTAATGCCTTTTTACCCATGTGGTTAGCAACCTTCCCATATTTCTTTTCTTACTCTGTATGCTAGTCTGGTAAACTGTACTTAATCTAAGATTGTGTCTGTAGTAATAAGGCCAATTAGTTAAGAACACGTTACCTTTCTTACTACCTTGCTTCTGCCACAAAATTTGTGGCAGGGTATGAGCTTTCGTGGGTCACTGAAAGACGTGAGCAGAGACTCACAAAAGCTCATAACCTGGCCTTTTGTTAGTCTTTAAGGTGCTCCTGGATTCTGGCTCTTTTCTACTATTTATTTTCAGTCCTTCTTAAGCAGCAAATTTTATTTTTCACCGCCAAAGAACATGGAACTGGGGTTGCTGATGAGTTTTCCACAAGATCTCTTCCTAGATAATTCAGACTCCACAAACATATACAGGATGCTTGTCTAAATACCCATCACTTTCCACACATTCTGTGACCCAGCCAACTGGGTTGTACAGATCCCTCTGGAGCTCTTCTCAGTCTGCTTGGGATTTCAGCATCTTGAATTATTCATAGACAAAGCTGATGGCACTGCTATTCACCATGAGTCCAAATAATTTATGAAAGTTAAATAGAATTTGCCCCAAAACAGGTTCCTTAGGGGACTCTGCTCCTCACTAACACCCACCTACCTCAGTACTATCTGCAAAAACTGACATCTTCTCATGTCTAACTCAGACTGCATTTAGATTTTAAAACCAAATTATACACTGTGGAATGCGGACAATAAACACCTTTTATATTCAAGTGAAAAGCCTGTATAATGGGGAACCTTAATATAAATGAGACGTTAGATCCTATCATCCTGCCCCTGTTACCAGACATATTCTTATTTAGCAACTACTACCTGTATAAGAGAGGCTGTTTTAACAGTGGCTGCCATGTGCAATTGTCTCTTGGGGTATGAACAGAAGACTGGCAGATGAAACTGCAGAAAAACAGTGAATTTCTAGCACTGGTTTTCACTGATAAAATGTGGGGCAGTTTCTCATCCCAGGGCCAATGATTTCAGGAAGGGTATCTGAAGAACTAAGTCAAATAGAGGTGACAAGAGATACCTTCCCAGGGCTAAGTAACAAATTAAGAATGAGCAGGACGCAGGTTGAGGTGGCATATGCAGCCTCCATACTAGAGAATTGGGAAGAAGCAAGTGTAAAATCAATGTTTAAAAGGGATCCAAAAGATATACAGGAAATTAGAGAAGAGGAGGAGGAGATTGGATTTCTACCCCACCCTTCACTCAGAGTCCCAGAGTGGCTTACAAACTCCTTTCCCTTCCCCTCCCCACAACAGACACCCTGTGAGGTAGGTGAGGCTGAGAGAGCTCTTTCAAGAACTTCCCTTTCAAGGACGGTTCTTGTCTGAACTATGGCTTGCCCAAGGTCATCCAGCAGCTGTAAGTGGAGGAGTGGGGAATCAAACCCGGTTCTCCCAGATTAGAGTCCGTGCACTTAACCACTACACCAAACTGACAAATTAATCAAATGCCTATTTCAGTTTAAATTTGTGGACTTCTAAAATAGAACAAAGCATGCAGAAGAAACAGGTCCAACTGAGAAAAAAGCCACTTAGCTTCTGTAAAGGAAGTCCTGCTTCATCAGCCTTGGAGTTTCTGAAAATCCTAACAAGCATGTTGTTAATGGCAATCTCTCCTGAAAGCCTCTAAACATTAAAGTCACTCACCAAAGGCTCTTGAGTAGACTTAAGGGTCATGAGATTACAGGATGGGCTCTCATGGATTAGAAAATGGTTAAGAGATAGAAGTGCATAGATAGCTTGCACAATTAATTAAAGTAACCAGTGGGTTCCCACAGGTATGAAATTTGCCAAGTCTTGGAAAGCACAAATCAGGCATGAGGCAGGGCCATGGAGTCCACAGAGAGGCAATGCCTGCTCCAGGGTTCACCCCCCCAGGAGTGGACCCAGAGAGATCAAAGGGCAGAGCCCAGTGAAGTTAAGGGACATATCAAACAGAAAATGCTGTATCCCTCTAAGGTAAGGATACAAAATGCTCTATCCCTTTATGTACTTAAGCATCACCAAGCAATACACCCAAACATAATTTGCATGCTAGCACAGTTTCCTATTCTACAACAAACACAAAACAAGAACAAAAATGGCATATAACTCAAGCAGTTTAGAGGACCATAGTTTACTTGTTTATAGTGCAAGCTTAAGCAATAAGCAGAATTACATCCTTCTAAGCTCATTGAAATCAATCCACTGTTAGTACTGTAACACATATATGCAGCATATTAAGGAATTAAATGAAGAGGATAAATGTAAACTGCATTTAAAAATGAAAAATCAAATGCATAATTATAGGATGGGGGAGACTTGTCTTGGCAGTCATATGTCCAGGGCCGGCCCCAGGGGTTTCTGCACCCTAGGCCAGGCTGCCTCATGGCGCCCCCCTCAGATGCCAACCTCCCAGTTGGGCCTGGAGACCTCCCAGCTGGGTCCCAGCAGCAGGGCCTACCGAAAGAGGGCTCCCTTCCCTGCCGCCACCTCCTGCCTGCCCGCCCGTCCAGAGGGCCTTTCTGAGCCAGAGCCACCACTTGGCCCAAGCCCTTCCCGCGGTCCCCGGCCAGGAAGCGGTGCGGCGGGGATTGGCAGCGGGCGCCGACAATGGTGCTGGGCGGGCCAGGCAGGGGTGAGCCTCCCTTCCTCCCTCCACAGGGACCCGCCCGCTGGGAGCAGGGGAGTTGACCTGGGCCTCCAAAAACCCTCTCCCGACCCTCATGGGCCGCTCCCTCCACCAGCACAGTCGCACCAGGGCGAGCTAGCCTCTGTGCACATGCAGAGTGCCTTTCCTCTCCCCACACCACTACTTACCTGCCTCGGAGAAGCGGAAGGTGCGCAGGAAGGCCAGGCACTCACTGAGGCCGGTGGTGAGGGCAAAGCTGCCCTGGAAGGGGCAGCGACGGAAGAAGACCTCGAACTCAGCCGGCTTGGTCAGCAGCACCAGTGAGCCCCGCAAGCGCCCCGCCACCGGTGGCGCCATTTGTGTTCACTTCGACTCGCTGTGC